TGCTATACAACAGTATTGCGTTATCTACTTTAAGCTACCTTGCACAGCTTTTCCCGATGGATCGCGAAGCCCTCCTGAAGGACAAATTTGCCATCCACAAGGTCCTTCGGCTTCCACCCAGCACGTTTCGCAAAGCCGATGTTTTCTCTTTCACGGGACACGGTTTAGTGGCCCCACAATCCGCCCTGATTCTAGGAGCGGCTAGTATGTGGCGCTGCTCCACTCTCACAATCACTGACTGGGCAGCAGAGCTCGACAGGTGGCGAGAAACGGCGGCGCTGACCTGCCCCGTCGTTGGCTGGATCAAGGGAGAGTGGAGCGCCCCCTGCTGGATCCAAAAGCAGGGGATCGCCCAGCGTTTCGCAGATTTAGTAAATCGCCCACCCCGCCGAGGCATCCCAATTGTCCAGTGGAGAGCCTCGCACGCAGCAGGCCGCATGGAAACCCGTGCGGCGCAAGCGGTGGGCAAGAAGCCCAAGCTCCAGCGAGCCATCACCTCCTTCCTCCGCCTCAATCTCTTCCCCAACAAATTTGAAGTCACTATATCCAAGCGTCTGAACGCTTGGGGCCTTGCTGATAGCGTCGTGGGCGGGGTGGCGGAGCGGTGGGGGGATTGTCTTGCAACGATTAAGAAGTTCAAACCTGCATGGCAGTGGTCAATCCTCAAGACCCTCGCAGGCGGCTGGACCACCAGTCATCGTATCCACGTACGTGGGATCGTCAATTGCCTTTTTGGGTGCGCACAGATTGACTCGATTGCCCACTATTTTACATGCCCCGTCCTCCGTTCCCTCATCGGCCTCCCCTCCAACCCACTGACTTTCCTCGGCCTTGCGGCCGACAACGAATACAATTGTGAGAGCTGCACGTTCTCGCGCGCTGATGCGCTGCGTTTGACCGTGTTGGCATTCCATACTTACCATAAGGCGAAAGCTGTGGTGACCCATGGGGACCAGCTCACGCCAAGCCAACAGCGAGCCGCATTCGCAGCAGCGCAGCACGCCACTGACACTTAAAGCGGCTGACGATGCGTGCGAACTGGCGCGCCTCAGGTACGGTCGATCATCATCATCATCATCATCATCATCATCATCATCATCATCATCATCACCACCAACATTATGTTCCTCATCGTCATCCTCACCCTCATCCTCTTCCCCCTTTGCCTCCTCTTCCTTTCTTCCTCCTCCTCCTCCTCCTCCTCTTTTCTTTATCCACCTCCTCCTCATCCTCCTCCTTTCTTCCTCCTGCTCCTCATGCTCCTCCTCTTTCCTTCCTCCTCCTCCTCCTCCTCCTCCTCCTCCTCCTCCTCCTCTTCTTTCCTCCTCCTCCTCCTCCTCCTCCTCCTCCTCCTCCTCCTCCTCCTCCTCTTCCTCCTCCTCCTCCTCCTCCTCCTCCTCCTCCTCCTCCTCCTCCTCCCCTCTCCTGCTTCTCCTCCTCCCTCCCTTCCTCTCGCGCGCCTCCCTCCCCTCGCTTCGCGGTCTCCGCCGGGCCCCTCTGCCGCCGAGGAGCTCTCCGCGATCCTGAAGCTGAGGCCCTCCGATGGCAACCTCCGCACGCTCTTCGGCCACCTCGCCGGGGAGGACGGCAGGGGTCGGCACCGGAGAGGAGGAGGAGGAGGAGGAGGAGGAGGAGGAAGAGGAGGCGGAGGAGAGAGAGGAGGAGGAGGAGGAGGAATAGGAGGAAGAAGAGGAGGAGCAGAAGCAGAGGCAGGAGCAGGAATCCGTCGCAAGCTCCGGGTACTGCGGGCCGCTGCCCAGTGCGGACCGCATGGATGGAGGAACGCATATCTCAAGGATCTGGGCGCAGTCGCGGGAGGCTTGCAGGCGCTCGCCGGGTGGGCGCAGCTCTGGAAGCAGGGCAAGATCCACAGCGACACCGTGCTCCTGTGGACTGCCGCCTGTGTCACGCCAGTTGACTGCGGTGCGTCGCCCACTGGGCGGGGCCGCAGGCTCCGGCCTATTGCATGTGCGGAGGTCCTCGTGAAGCTGGCGGAGGGCGTCCACATCGACGAGCACAGCGGCGCAGTGCTTTGCCGACTCGAGCCTTGGCAGCTGGGCTGCGGCGCGCCCGATGGCGCGCTGCTCATCGCGTGCCCGGCGCGTAGCCGGGTGGCCGGCGCTCGCGGCCCACGCGCCGAGGAGGCGCGGGGGGGCCCAGAGGAGTGGGAGCAGCAGCGGCGGCACGGCGGCTGGTGCGGAGGCGGGCGCAGGGGTCGCTGAGGAGGAGGGGGAGGAGGAGGAGGAGGAGGCGCGCGAGGCCGAGGAGGCGGCGGCGGCAGCGGCGAGGAGGGCGAGCCAGGATTTGGTCCCGAAGCTGTCGCGAGCATAGGCCTCGAAGATGCATGCGGCCGTGCCTTGAGGTCCAGTTGCGCTCGGGGCTGCGAGGCCCGCATGCCGGCCATCGCGGCCTTGGCGGCAGCCGAGTGGAAGGCAGGACGGACAATCGTGTGGCAGCGCGTCCCCGGAGGGTGGCGCAAGTCGGATGCGCGGCGCGGAGGTTGGCAAGGCTCGAGGCTCATGCAGGTCATGTTCGCCATGGGGCTGGAGGACTGCATGGACCAGGCCCCGGTGCTGCGGGAGGGTGGCAGCGCCAGAGTCGGCTACCAGGACGACACCTACTTGTTCGGCAAGGCCGAGACCCTCGCCGACCGCTGGCCGGCTTTGCTTGCCGGTCTGGCGTCTGGGGGCCACAGGGTCCAGGACCACAAGTGCAACTTCTGGGCCCCGGGGTGCGACCACCTCGAGGATGCCCAGCTCCCGGCGCCGCTGGCGCGCCTCGCCGGCGTCACGCCTCGCGCCCGCGGTGGCTTCGAGCTGCTCGGAGGTGCCGTCCAGGGCGAGCTCGCGGTGGAGATCGACGCCGCTGGAGCGCTGCTCGGGCCCGCCCGGGGCAGGGCCGCCAAGGCCTCGGCATTCGCCGACCGCATCCGGCAATGTGCAGTCGCCCAGCCCACCGTCACAGCAGCCCATCTGGCGTGGTTCATGCTTTCAAAGTCAGCTGCTCATGCTCTTTCGTACGACGCGCGTCTGGTAGCCTCCCCGCTGCTGGGCGCTGTGGCCGAGCCTGTGAGCGATTTGATTGAGGATGCCATGGCCACCGCGCTCCTCGGCGAGCGCCTCGGCGGCGACTCCCTGGTCCAGGCGCGCCTGTGTGGCAGCTGTGGCGGCATTGGTTTCCGGTGCGAGGCCGAAGGCCTCATGGCGGACGCTGCGCTCTGGGCAGCCTGGTGCGCGATGCAGGCCCGCGTCCCGATCCTGGCAGCGGGCCTCGGCGTGCCGATTCGCGCGTGCTCTGGTGAGGGGGACGCGCGGGCGTAGCCGTCGCCTTCGACGGCGTCGTGCGGTTCACAGCTGAGGCGCGAGCATAGTATGAGGCTGGCCCATGGTCTGCTGACGTGGGGGTGTCGCAACTCGGCGCCTTGGAGGCGGTGCCCCAGCCGACGCTGCCCTCGGTCGAACACGGTGCGTGCCCGGCCCGCCTGCCCAGGCGATTTGCGAGCCGGATCATCCGCCATCTGGGCGCGCTCGCTGCGACGAGGCTGCGTAGGCGGCTTGGCACTGAGCGGAGGGAAGGCTTGCTCTCAGCAGGGGGCCCGGGCGCGGGTGCACTGGATGCAGCTCCCTCCCCGCCAGGACCAATGCTTCCCGACAAGCTACTTCCGCGCTGCCACCTTGCGCCGGCTGGGCGCCTTGAGCGCGCCGCGCGGTGCCACCTGCCGTATGCCGTGCCGCGCGGGGGACGGGCGCGACGAGGTGTGCGGGCAGGTCCTTGACCCGACCCTTCGCCACCCACAGCTGTGCAAGTAGGGCCCTGCCCGCATGCGGCCGCACTGGGCCCCTGCAGCCGGGCTCATGCGGCAGCTTCGGGCATGCCGCGCCGAAGTGGACCTGGAGCGCGCCGTGCCGGAACTCGTGCGCTATGGGAGGGACGGGGCGGTCCAGGAGGCCATCTTGGATTTGGTGGTCACGTTCCGGGGCGCGGTGCAGCCGCTGTACGTGGACGTCACCGTCCGCTGCCCGCCCGCCGCCCGCTATGAGCATGCTGACACGCGCCTTGGCGAGGCCGCGTCTGAGGCGGCGGAGTCCAAACGGGCCCGGTACGGGAGCATCGTCCTCCTCGTCGCCTTCGAGACCTACGGGCGGATCAGCGCCGAGAGCTTGCGCTCCCTGGATTTGCTGGCGGTGCACGCTGGTTGCTGCATGCGGGACGCTTGGGCGGCGCCGCGGCTGCTTCCGAAGTGGCGAGCCGCCCTTGAGTGGTTGGTCCACTTCGCCGCGGCGGACGTAGATCTGCTCTCTCTCTCTCTCTCGGGTGCGACCCGACGCTGGCAGAGGCGTAAGTGGCGTGGGGGCGCGTGAGCGGCGCGGTGGGCGCCGTCGTATAATTTGTTATATAAATGTCGAATCCGAGGCGAGCTGTGCAGACCGCTAGTCGTGCGAGCAGGAGCAGGAGCAGGAGCAGGAGCAGGAGCAGCAGGAGGAGCGATGAGCGAGGGGTGTAGGAGGAGGGGGCGCGACGAGGAAGATGCAAGGAGGCATGGAGGAGGAGGAGGAGGAGGAGGAGGAGGAGGAGGAGGAGGAGAGGAGGGAGGAGGAGGAGGAGGAGGAGTGAGGAGGGAGGCGGAGGAGGTGGAGAGGAGGAGGGGAGGAGGAGGAGGAGGAGGAAGGGAGGAGGAGGAGCAGCAGCAGCAGCAGCAGCAGCAGCGGCAGCAGCAGGCAGAGCAGCCAGAGAGCAAGGCAGAGAGAGCAGGAGGCAGAGGAGAGCAGGAGGAGCACAGGAAGGCAGTCAGTATAGAAGAGGCAGGAGGCAGGCAAGATGAGCCAGGAGGAGGAGGAGGAGGATATCCAGTAGGAATAACCAGGGGTAGGATGAGGGAAAAGGAGGAGGGAGGAGGAGGAGGAGGAGGAGGAGGGGGAGGGGGGAGGGAGGAGGGGAGGAGGGGGAGGGGGAGCAGCAGCAGCAGGAGGAGGAACGGATGAGGAGGAGGAGGAGCAGCAGCAGGAGGAGGAACGGAGGAGGAGGAGGAGGAGGAGTAAGAGGACCGAGGAGCGATGAGCGAGGATGCGAAGGGAGGTGTGGGAGGGATGAGAAGGAAGTGGAAGAGTACAACGAACCTGGCTGCGCTTGATGGGGCCAGCCATGCGCGGGAGCTGGGAGCATGGGAGGCCGCGGCCCCCAGGTGTGCGACCAGCCTCCAACCCAGGATGTTGCCCCCCGATCGATCGGCCTCTGCGCGTGTTTCCCTTGTCCGTCTTCTGTTCGGCTCCATGGTGTTGCTGCCTCTGCAGCGCGCGAGGATATCCCAGGAGTTCTAAGTGCGCCCGTACGCGGCCACCGGCTACCCTTCGCCATGCCAGCGGAGAAGGGGCCGTGCGCGCGCGAGGGCCTCCCGTTCGCCAGGCAGGAGCGCCCGCCCGTCCCCGCCTGTTTCGGCACTGCGCAAACGCATGGCATGACGCTGCGCATCTGCGGCGCGCCTGTCTCTTGAGCGGTCGCAGCGTCGAAGCGCTCCACGGTACTTAGTCGTGCTGACGGTGGAGGGAGGAGGAGGAGGAGGAGGAGGGAGGAGGCAGAGGAAGGAGGGGAGGAGGGAGGAGGAAGGGAAGGAGGAGCACAGAGGATCAAGGAGGAGCAGGAGGAGCATGAGTGAGGGGAGGGAGGGAGGAGGCGTTCTTGTGTAATAGGGAGGGGGGGGGGGGGGGGGGGCGAGCGTGAATGGGCGGGGCCCGCTGGCTCGCCCGAGCTGGCCAGCTCGACCGTGCCGTCCTGTCATCTGCGGCCGCACCTCCCAGGCACTGGCTCTCCAAGGGCACGCTTGAAGCAGCGGCGAGGCGTCCTGGCTTCCCTATAAGTGGAGTTTTTTTTTTCCGAAGGGTTTAGGCGACCCCTCCTCCTCCTCCTCCTCCTCCTCCTCCTCCTCCTCCTCCTCCTCCTCCTCCCCTCCCTCGTCCACCTCCCCCGAAAAGAGACTCACGGGCGCCAGAGTTGGCCCCCCTTCTCCTTCACCAAGGGGACCCGTGGGGACGCAGGGGGGCTTCGACTTGGACATCGCTAATTAAGCATAGGCCGGGCGAGGAAAAATCCTCCTCCTGCTCCTCCTCCTCCTTCTTCTCCTCGGGTCGCCTACGGCCCCAGGGGAAACCGTGTACCTACAAGCCCGCCAAAGAATGTCCTAAGAACTTTGAATGGTCTGCGCGAAATGTTTTGGAACACTTCTGGTTGAGACCGTCTTGTTCCAACAGATCGGGTCTATGTTCTAAGAGCACTGTTTTTGTTATTCGAACAGTTGTGGGTTTGAAGAAATGTCTATGGGAATGCCCGGAAGGTCGGTCCTTGCTCAAAGGCTCCCGGACATTCTCCAAGGACATGTTCCAAAACATCACAACGTATTCGACGCCGGATGCTACGACTCACCGTGAAGACCCCGAGGCATCGGACGAATCGCAGCAGCGCAGCCACTGGCAACGCCAGGAGCTCCGTCGCTGCACCAAGCGTCAACTGCACAAGTAGAGCTGGCACCCGTTCGGAGTGCGACGACGGGGGATCTTGCCTCCACGGTGTCGGCGACGGCTCTGAGCTCGAGCAGCGGGCAAGAGTTTGGCCGCAGAGCCACGCACAGCAACGCGCCATGCGAGGCGGGCCCACGCGGACGAGCAGGTGAACGCAAATGCTGGCGTCAGGGCGAGTAGCCACCCACAGGGCCCGACTGGCCGCGACGCGCAGGGCGGACAGCCACGACCAGCGACCGGCATTCTGCAGGCACGGAGGCCAGCAAAGGCGGTGGGAATATGATCACGCTCAGGAGGGGACAGACACACACAGACACAATGAATCGTCGATTCCCCAGAAAATATGGGAATGGGAAAATATGGGAAGTGGGGGGGGAGACACAAGCCCAGAAAATCCGGGAAAACATGGGGAATCCAGTTACTTGTGTCTATTGAATTTGTGTGTCCCAGGGCCCCTTCACACACAGCTTCTGCGTGCAACCACGCCTCTAGAACGAAGCGCTGAACGGTACGTAGTCCGACTCACACGAGCACAAGTCAGCGGCGAGACCCGGGGAGAAGTGAGAAGGAGCAGGCCCTCTCAGAAGGCGGCGCGGCTTCTCAGAAGCCTTCGCGCCTCCCTGGGCTTAACCGCCGAACACGAGCACGACTTGTAGCAGCCTGCACGGCACCCCCACGCCACACGCAGCGCTCACCAGCAGCGGCTGTCGACCCCAGGCACGGCCAGGCAGTGCTCCGGCCCGCCCGTGGCTGAGGAGTGCGGCCTCGGCGAAGCTCGGCTTCCGCCCGCCCTGCCCGCCCTGCCCAAACAAAATGCGAAGCATCTGTCGGGATGAGTCAGTAAAGCATCATTCGCTATCATCCTTCCTCCACCTCCTCCGCCTCAGCCTCCGCCTCCTCCTCCTCCTCCTCCTCCTCCTCTTCCTCCTCCTCCTCCTCCTCCTCCTCCTCCTCCTCCTCCTCCTCCCCCTTCTCCGCCTCCGCCTCCGCCTCCTCCTCCTCTTCCTCCTCCTGCCCTCCCTGAGCCGCGAGCCTCAGGACGGCAGGGTCGGCTTCGACCACTTCGTGCGCCGCGCGCTCCCAGGCCGCCGCCGGAGGAGGAGGGAGGAGCGGAGGGAAAGAGGCATGAGGACAGGAAGGAGGGAGGGTGGGAGGGAGGGAGGGAGGGAAGGAGGGCAGGAGAGCAAAGGGGGGGGGGAACGAGGCAGCAGATCCTGGACACTCCTCCCCCTCCTCCTCCCCCTTCCTCCTCCCCACCACCTCTCTTTCCATCCTCCTCCTCCTATCCTCTTCCTCCTCCTCCTCCTCCTCCTCCTCCTCCTCTTCCTCCTCCTCTTCCTCCTGCGCACACAGTAGGCGCTCATGAGGTCCCCACGAGAGGCCTTCATAGCAAAAACCACGGCAGAGCAACCATCAGGACGACCTTTTTGTCACCTCCGACTGGGGGCGACATCCAGTCGGAGAGCCAGCGGCAGGGTGCTCTCTGCGTGGGCGGCCTGGGTCCAAGCCCAGGCCGCTTCTCTCTAAGTCACCAGGGCGTCAGAGCTCTGAGAGAGATCCTTTCTTTGCCCTGCTTGTACCTGCCCTCGGCCAGGCCTCGCAAAAACACGACTGCCCTAGACAGAGGGGGCGGGCGGACACGGCTCCCTGGACAGCTTGGGAATGGTGACTCCGCCCGCCGCGCGCAGGGCACAGACCACCCCCCGCCTTCCCCCCGCGAGAGTGAAGGGATAGGCACGGGGGGTGGCGTGACCCTCTCTCCGCAAAACCGCGATATCGCAGCATCAGCCCGACTTCCAGCCGACGAGACCACCGGGGGGGAGGAGGAATTACCTGCAACGGCGGCACAACACCGCGCACCTTCCTGGCGCGCTTGGGGGTAGGGACGTGCTCACGGTCCAGGTCGGCCATCGGCGGGCCACACAGTCCGACCCATCTTGTGAGGGTGACCACACAACTTTGTGCTGGCTCTTGAACCGCACGCGATGCTGCTCTGGCTCTCTGCAGAACTCCTCCTCCTCCTCCTCCTCCTCCTCCTCCTCCTCCTCCTCCTCCTGACTCTTGAACCGCACGCGATACTGCTCTGGCTCTCTGCAGAACTCGGCGGCCTGCGTGGCAGAAACGTCAGCCAAGTGATTGCCAACCTGAGCGCGTGCGGAAAGGACGCCCGCAAGTACATCCGACCTGTCAGTGTGTGTTTTGACCTTACGAGGGCTGAGCTGCTCGAGGCCTCCTGTGTCCTCGATCGCATGCCACACAAGCTTCCAGATGTCGGCCCAGGCGGCCCTGGATGAGCAACAGAAAATACGGCCTCTCTCCCAGACGCCCTGGAAAACAAAATTGGAGTTAGTCCAAAAGGTCGCCCCAGGCATGGCCTGCTTGAGGCCCATCAGCAGGGCCCAAAGCTCACACGCATCGATGTCGAAATGACCTGCTGGGAGCCCTCCTGCGACCACCGCGCGCTTCGCTCGCTCATGAGGTAGGGTCGGATCGTCGTGCAGCGCAACGATGGCCCAGCCGAGCGAGCGAGCGGTGGGCGGAAGCTCAGAGTCGAACAAACTCCCGTCCAGAAAACGGTCACCTCCGAGCTCCTCAGGGGTCCCGACAAGCCGCAGCTCCTCAGGAGGAGGGGGGCGAGGAGGGGGAGGAGCAGGCAGCAGCGCAAGCAGCCTCTCAAGCAGGAGACGAACAAGGGGATTACTTGCTGTTTGTACCATGGCCTGAGCGCACGCTGGCGGCCCCTGCTCTAACCCAAGGAGCTCTTGATGTCCCGCGCAGCTGAGATGCCTGTGCAGAAGGGTCCCTGGGGTTGCGTGGCACACACGACAGACCTGCTCCTGCGACAAACCGTGCTGGAACTGCCTGTCCTGCGGCCACTGTCCTCCCGCAACAACACGGGTATCGTACGCACGTTCATGCTCTTTTAACTTAGACGTGCTAGACTTAATAGGCGCAAGAAATGGGCCTTGCTGGAACTCAGGCATCTGGAGGTGATCGGCCACCTTTCCCGAGAGCCAACTTTCAACCACAGTGTCCAGAGCTCTCTTGACGGTCCGCGGGCACAACCGTTCAACCGAGAAGGCACCCACGTTGGAATGTTGCCACGTGAGACCGTCCATGCGAATACCGAGACGTAGCGCCGTGGCCACGGCAGTGGTGAATGGGCCGCGAACGCATTGCCAAGGTTAGCCGTGCTCCAGGAGTTTTTGCCACGCTCCTGCGAGACCTTGCTCGACCACACCCCTCGGCACTCCTCCTCATCCACCTCTTCCTTCTCCTCCTGCTCCTCTTCTCCTCCTCTTCCTCCTCCTCCTCCTCCTCCTCCTCCTCCTCCTCCTCTCCTCCTCCTCCTCCTCCTTCTCCTCTCCTCCTCCTCGTCCTCCTCCTCCTCCTTCTCCCTCCCTTCCATCCTTCCTTCGTTCCTCCTGCACCCCCTGCTCCCCCATCGTCCTCCTCCTCCTCCTCCTCCTCCTCCTCCTCCTCCTCCTCCTCCTCCTCCCCCTCCCCGTCCTCCTCCTCCTCCTCCTCTTCCTCCTCCTCCTGCCCTCCGTCCGCAGGAGCACGGTGTCGTATCCTGGCACCGGCGCTACCTCAAGCGGAGGGCACATTGTCAGGGAATTGGCCCAAGTTGGCGGAGACAAGCAGGCGGCCGTTGTTTTGCGTGGTGGAGGGTTCGACTCCCTCTCACCACGTTTGTTTCTTCAGGTCAGGTGTGGCACATGTTTGCCCTCCTGGGTCTGCGTAGCCGGCCCGCAGGATCAGGGTCGGCGCAGCGGGGTCCGCAGAATCAGGACCTGTGCCGTCTCCAGAGGAGAGGATTTCGTTTCTTCGCAGCACCACCGGAGCGGGCGGCCGTGAGTGGGCCAGGCGAATTGCCCTTGTCCCGTTCCGTCGCACTTGCCTAAGTGCTCCCTTCGGGGATACGACTTTCGTCGTCGCTCATGCACAGTTCCGCAGTTCCTCCTCCCCCTCCACAATTTTTCAATATGAATACTATTCTCCTCCTTCCCCTGATGACGGGTTGGGAGTGTTCGCCCCCCCCCCCCCCCCCCCCCCCCCTCGCGTATTGTTTTTCACAGGATTCCCCGGAGTTGGTTTTTCGCTTGCATTTTTTTTCGAAATGCTGCTCTCGCTGAGGCGCCGGCCTCATTTTCGGGCCCCGCTCGTTCCGAATCGTGCTCCCGCTGCAGCGCTGGTTTCATTTCCATGTTTCCGCTCGTTCCGAATCGTGTTCCCGCTGCAGCGCTGGCGTCATTTCCCGTGCCATGCCACGGCATGTAATGCAACGCTCGGCTGCGTTCCGCTGCGCGATGCCATGCCTTCAGCTGAAGCTGTGATATGCAGTGCTTAAGTGCCAGTCGTGCTTTGCCATGCTACGTTTTGATCTGCAACGCCATGCTATGCAATATTCGGTTCGGGGCCGCTGTGCGATGCCATGCTTTGCGTCGCAAAGCTGTGCGATGCAATTCTTCACTATGCCACGCCACGCCATATTGTGACATACTACGTTTTGCGGTGCTCTTCTACGCCATGCCATGCCGTGCTCTACAATGCATCGCGTACCCTTTCGGGATCATTGCCCTGCTCGACATCCGACTGTGCGAGTAGAGAGGGATCTACGCCATGGTAAGGGATGGGAGGGAGGGGTCGGATGTCAGATATGACGCGAACGCAGATAGATTGTCCTTTTCCCCCTCCTCCTCATCCTAAAGTGAGGAGATCGGCGAAGGCGGACAAAACTAAGTGGCTCAACGACTGCATACAGACAGGCACTTGGGATGACCTGAAGCTGATCCGGAAGACGCGGAGACCGACCCAATCCAGCCTCCGCAACGCAGCCGGCGTCCTCACGCCGAGCGAGGAGAAAACCGATACTATGGCAGAGTACCTGGAACGTGTGCAGTGGCGCGGCCGCCCAGCAGGCTGCACAGATGGTCCGCCTCTTGGGCCCGCCCTCAACGTCAATGAGGACGCGTTCTCGGCGGAGGAGGTCAGGGCAGTCATTCGCAAGATGCGGAATAACCGAGCGGCTGGTGGAGACGACATTCCTGCAGAGTATTTCAAGGTTCTGGCTACGAACACCGAGTGCCTGGAATATGTCACGGATTTCATGAGTAACTGTTGGCTCGAAGGGAAAACACCGCAGGCTTGGCATCAGGCTAAGGTAAAGGCCATTTATAAGAAAGGGAACGTTGAACTGCCAGAGAATTACCGCCCAATCAGCCCGTTGAGTCTTGGATACAAGATCTTCGCTGCTCTCGTCAAAAAGCGGCTCCTCGACGCGGGAGTGGAACAACGGCTTTCGAAGTACCAGCTCGGCTTCCGCAGCGGGTGCAGCACGCAGGACGCCATCTGCATTCTGCGACGGCGTATTGAGCAAAAGTGGGCACTACAGCACGGAAATGGGTATTTTCTCGCTCTGGATTGGAAACAGGCGTTCGATTCTGTGAACACGGAGGCAATGCTAGCCGCTCTGGAACGGTTTGGACTCCCCAGTAGCATCCGGCGCATCGTTGGGGATATTTACAATGGGCGCACATTCCAGGTCCAGGAGGCCGGGCACTTGTCAGCGGAACGAGCGCAGAGATCAGGGATTTCCCAGGGCTGCCCGCTTTCGCCCCTCCTGTTCGTCATGGTCATGACCGTCATCATGACTGACGCAGCGGATGCGCTCGGACAGCAACTCGCGGAACGTGTTGGGCAGTTGGTCTACGCCGACGACACTTTACTGATCGCGCGACGTGCAGAGGATATGCAAGAGTGGTTGCGCGTGGTGCAGGAAGCGGCCAGCTTGGTGGGCTTGGAACTGCATTGGGCGAAGCTCCAGTTGATGCGCGTTCGATGCTGCGGAAATGTTCACACTCTTACAGGCGAGGCCATTGCAGCCACAGACAAAATATCTTACCTGGGCACCACCATCAGCAGCGACGGCAGGTTGGAGAGTGAGCTCAACCGGCGGCTTGGCATGGCATACGCAGAGTTCTCAAGGCTTAAGAAAGTCTGGGGGCACACGAGCATCGGAGAACAACGGAAGATCGACTTGTTCAGCGCCATCATCATACCCAAGCTCCTCTACAGCCTGAGCACGGCATGTCTGAACGCGGCAGAACGGCGTCGTCTGGACGGAGCACATTGCCGGATGTTGCGGTCCCTCTGCGGGGTCAAGCACCCCATGTTCTCCCGAGTATCGAACGCGAGCATCCGGGCCCGGACGCGGCAAGAGCCTTTGACAAGTACCCTTCTCAAGCAACATCTTCTTCTGCTTGGAAAGGCAGCGAGAGCAGAGCCTGGAGATTCACTGCGAGACTCAATTTTCGTCCCCGGCACTCTGAAACTCATCACGGACCACTACGTCAGGAAGGCTGGGCGACCCAGATTGGAATGGGCTAAGTTTCTATTGACGCATGTACGACGGCTATCAGGCGAACATCTTCAGTGGGAGGTGCTTGTACAAGACGAATGTGCTTGGAGGAAACACGTGAGGGCGCTACAGTAGCGCCTGCCGACGCGCCCCCGGGCGTTTGACCCTCTCTCTCTCTCTCCTCATCCTCCTCTTTCTCCTCCTCCTCCTCCTCGTCCTCCCCCTCCTTCTCCATCCCATTACCCGTATGACTAACTCCTCCCTGTGGCGCCCCCAGACTTGTCGATAGAGCGGGCTGGGCATTTCGCTTGAGACGACCTCACGATGTATGATCCGGACGGTTGAAATTCGCATCATCCTTAAGGATGAAAGGCGTGCCGTTTTCAAAACGTTGTGGTTGCCTCAGTGCCGCCCACACGTGTCGTTAAATTCTGTAGCAGTTTCAACGATGAGGGGTGGGTGGTTTGGAGTGTGCGACATCTTCATGTATGAAGGGCAGGTCCTTTTCACACTGTGGCTCTCGCTTTTGCGCCGCGCACATTCCTTTTCGACATTGAAGCCGTTTCAAAGAAGGAGGGTGGGTCCTTGTCAAACTATGGCTCTCGCCTCAGCGCCGCGCACATTCGTCTTGAACGTTTGCGACAGCTTCAAGGATGGAGGTCGGTTCCTTACCAAACGATGGCTCTCGCCTTAGCGCTGCGCATCTTCGATCTGAAAGTTTACATCAGCTTCAAAGCTTCGTGCGAGCAAAGTCCCAGACATGTTGCTCTGGTAGTATGTCGGATGGTCAGGACGCAGCTCACGTTGATTGGGAACGTTGGAGTCCCAGGAGTGGTGTTCTGGCACGGTTTTGGATTGTCAGGACGCAACACTCACGTTGATTCGCGGCGCTGACGAGGACAATCCCTACAATGAAAATATAAATTATTGACGCTTCGCGCATCCCCACCAGCCCATTCGCAAGCATATCGCGATTCAAATTTCCCGAACCAGCGAAGTGTAGAAGCATATAGTGTAACAACCTCATTGGAGTTGTTTTCTCGGATGTCTTTTCGAGCCATCTTGGGTCTCTCTTAGAGTCCTCGCGGAGCCACTTGGGGCACTCTTGGGGCCCTTTCGAGGAGTCACTGGGCCCTCTTGGGGCTCTTTGGGGGGTCTGGGGGGCCTCTTGAGGCAATTTCGGGTTCACCGTTCAAAAAGAGGGGGGTTCGGATATCCAGCTCCCCCCCTCGGAGGCTCGAAAATTGCGTATTGGGGCGATCTTGGGGCGCTCTTGAACGCTCTTGGGGCCGTCTTGGAGCCTTCTTAGGGTCTTTATTGAGGCTCTCTTGCGCCATCTTGGCGCCATCTTGAGGCCTCGGAGGCCCATCGGAAGCGAAACAGCCAGAAGACACACAGCATACATTTTCCCTAGGTTTGGGAGCCATTTTTGCCTCTTGGGGGGGTCCTTGGAAGGCTCGGAGGGCACTTGAAACCGTCTTGGGGTCGTCATCAGGCCTCTTGGATGTGTGCCGGAAGCTATCTTAAGCCATCTTGAGCCATCTTGAGCTATCTTAAGCCATATTGGAAGCCTTCTTGGGGTCTCTGAGGCCCTCCTGGAGCCATCTTGGGCCGTAACAGCGCCCCCCCCCCTCCCAGGCCCATGGGAGGCGGCAGGGGGAGGAGTGAACCCCTCCCCCGAGCAGGGGAAGGAGGGATTTCGGGCAGAGAGAAGACAAAACTCGTTAAACCACCTACGCCCAGAGGGCTGGTGGATTCTTGTTGGGACCTAGGCATGTGGTGGGTGGGTTTACCGCAACATCGTTGCTGCGTCTTGGGCTTACACTGGTCCTCCTCCTCCTCCTCCTCCTCCTCCTCCTCTTTCTATCTCCTCCTTCCCCTCCTCCTCCTCCTTATCCTTCTCCTGCCCTCCTCCTTCTCCTCCTCCTTCTTCTCCTCCTCCTCCTCCTCCTCCTCCTCCCCCTCCTCCTCACGATCATCATCCTCCAGCAAAGATCTGGACATCCTCAAGCGCATGGCAGTGGAGGCTGAGCGGCTTGCCTTCTGCAGCGATCCTCTGGCTGAGGTCGAGGACCGCTTCAAGCAGAATAATAATGATATGACAACTAATATCACTGATAATAAGAA